CCCGAGCAGTGCCCAAACGTGGCGGTGGCAGGCCAGGGCTCCAGCGGGAGAGATGCAGAACAGGCACGGGGTGGTGAGATTTGCTCCCCTTTAAACAACGCACGTTTTCCCTCCCAGCTCTTTTAAAATCTGCAATGAAGGGGTGCGTTTGCTGACAGGCGTCCCCTTCGTGACTCCGGTTCAGGGACTCTCACCCTGCAGCCCCTTAGCTCTGGTATGGCTAAGAGGCTCTGCAGAAATGCTCTCCGCTGACCAGATCTGTGTGATGAGGCTTTAAGTGAAAATATGAGCCATTCCCTCCGTTTTTTCTGGTAGTATTTAGGAAAAGGCAAATGGGAATTTGTAACTGCCTAAGCAGGGAGCATGACTGGTTTATACGGTTGTACATCTGCATCTCCTGAGGTTGGACAGGCAGCGAGTGAGAAGCGACCCAGCTTTGAGGGACTTAGAATCTGACTAGAAAAGCCTAATAAAAGCTCAGCTCTTCAAAGATATTTTAATTCAGAGTTGTCTGTTGATTTCACTGAAACATTTGTGCTTATATCGTCTTGGAGATCCTGTTGTTATCAGGTTATTCAGGTCAGAGGTTGGCTTTCCCTGTTGGCCCATGCTTAGCACAGCAGCTTACGATTAGAGCTGTTTCAGTGTGATTGGGGTCCCAATTTATTAATAACAGCTTGGGACATGTAAGGTGAATTGCCGATAGGCTCACAGGAGATCAGTAGTAAAGCTGGGAAGGAGGAACAACTAAGGGAAGCTGATTCTATCACCATAATTGTTGGGAAACAAAACAATTGTAAAACAATCAATAAAGATTTAATTACATATTGATTGCTGCTAAAATGTTCCCTGGGTGAACAGGTGCTTTAATAAAGCAGAATCAATTCCTAGGCTGTTCTAACCAGTCTTTTCCAAATGCAAATATTGACTTAGGGCCTTTCTATTCATTCACGGTTTAATTAACATGATTTTATTGCACAAAAATCAAGATAAGCACTCAGCAAGGAAAAGGTAACAGGGGGAATGTAAAAAATGCCCAGGACTGGTGCAGGCCTTCTGCTGCCTGTGTGCCAGCCTTTTTCCACCTCCTGTGCTGCGGGAAAACCTGTGTGCGGGAAGTCTCCAGGGACTGCACTAATGCCACCTTGCTGTCCCTCCCTGGGTGGCTGCTCTGTGTCCTCGGACACAGCGCACACACGGCAGGAGCCGTGCTAACCGGCAGCATGGTGGGGTGTAGGTACTTTAGCTCTCTGCTCAGCTCACACCCAGGTGTACATAGGAATAGCTGACTCCAACTGCTAGCTCTGTTCCTGACAGCTGGGACGACTAACAAAAATCTATTCCAGGTATGACGCCAATGCACATAAATCATGTTTAATCCCTGAAGGCTCCCATTCCAGAGAAAGCTGACTTTATATACTGTTGCTTAATTCTCCCAGCATCCCCGTGCAGATGTGGCCTGAAACCCAGACGGCTGACCACAGGATCCCCAGGCAGTGGCCAGCCGCAGGCAAGAAAAGCCTCTGCTTAAGAGGTATCTCATCACTGTGAATTCTGGAGAGAAGAAGAAGATTGGATGGGTCTGGCTTCATTTACATTTCTATTTTGCAACAGTTTGGAGTAACTTTTGGATAAAATATATTTAAGTGTTCAAACTGAGTTTAAAAAAACCATTGTTCCTGTCGGGAAGTGGAAGAAGAGAACAGCAAATGTCTTAGCTGGGTAAAGTGGGAGATCTCTTTCCCATCTCCCCATGCTTAGGAATGCTTTTTGAGGGGGAGGAAATCTTTTGAGAAGGATGTTCAATCATCCTGGTCCCCTATGGTTTCCCCAGCAGCGCGCGGAGGCACCCCTGGGTGGTGTAGGCTTGTTGAGCTGGGGCTGGGGCAGGGCAGGAAAAGAGCCTGCCTGAGGCACCAGAGCTGGCACTGGGGCACCTGTGGGGCAGCCCAGACAGCACTTCTCTTCAGAGCAGAGGGTTGGTTTGCCAAAACACAGGACAGCACAGCGTGTGGCCCGGGGGGGAAGGGGAGGTGGGTCATGCTGGCACAGATGGCCCCATTAGTTTTGCTCTGGGGTGGGCTGAAGGGAGGCTCAAGGGGAGAGCATCCTCATTGCTGGGCAGACGGGACCTTTCCTGAATGGAAACCGCTGATTATTTTTTATTCTTAAATTAATAAATCAATGGTAAATTACCATTGATTTATTAATGTAGCGTGCTGCGGTGAGGAAATACTGCCTGCCACAGGCATCCAGATGGGATAATGGAGTCCCCTAGTGTTGTGGCTTATTGCCCGGCTTTCTTAAGAAGCCCATTTTGCTGGCAAGGTGGCCATCCAATGATGAAATTGTAGACCTTTCTCAGGACCTATTGGATGGTATCTCCCTTGCAGGAAAGATAAAACCAAACTGTAAGATGTTAAGATGAGACGGTGCCAAAGACATAACAGGCTTTCCTTCAACTTCTTCCCTGAACCCGAATGCCCAAGCTGGCTCTAAAGACTCTTCACTTCTTTAGTGGTTGGGATTGGTAAGTGCAGCACGTCCCCGTGCCTGGGATACTGCAGCAGCACAGAGATGTTTTGTTTGACGCAGTGCAGTGACCTCTTCTCTTCAGACCGCATGTAAACAAGAAGGCCATTCCAATTCTCCATCACTCCCATCACTGCAAACAATACTGGCCTTGTAAGTAGTTGCCGTTCAGTCTTCTGGTGTCATCCATTTGAACCCAAAGGACTCATGCCTGAGGTTCCAAGAAATTATCAGTAGAGAATTTGTTGTTTACTAAAAGCCTTATGTTAGGCTGCAGGAAAAAAAATTCATACTTTAGGTTTTATATCTGACTGTCCTCCCAGAAGATGATAGAAACAGTCACTCCTGGGGACCTGGGCTCCGGTTTGTTTGGAGGAAAGTATTGTTCAAGCTGTGCTTCTGTTTTCCCAATATCCCTTCCTGTTCCAAATCTCAACTAGCCATGGTCCGTCAGCATCATGCCTTGGACTGCTCGTGCCTGTTGGAGGCTTAGGACTGGCATTTCTGGCCGAAAGTTGTATGCCCGACACTTAGGGGTGTCATTGGTATGGGAGTTCAAAGCTCCCAGGGACTTTATCCCATAATACTCAGTATTTCTTTGAAATTAGAAGAGTGCATATGGTGATATTTTTCCATGACATATAAATCATATGGATACATCCAGGTGGTTTTATAGTCCTGAGAAACCTTTTCTGCATTACTGGCTAGATAAAAGTACCTATTACAAAAGAAATGCAGATGTCCGTAGACTCTCTA